GGCTTCCTGAAAAGAATAGTTAAAGTGGGAAGCCTTATTAGTAGATGTTGCCATTTTGTTTTTGAAAAATTTAATTCAAGGTTTTTAAACTGACTACCAAGATGACAAAAGTGAAAACTTGGAACAAAATAAAAATCCTTAGTAGGGGCAAAATATGATTGGGGAGGCTTGCTGCCATGTATGTATTCTCTAGATTTGAAGCAGAGGCAACTCTTTCTCATACTTTTTAATCTTCAGAATCAGCTCCTTCTTCAATTATTTATTCAGTCATTCCCTGCTTGTGCCAGGTTAAGTTCTTCACATATCTTTACACGTATTATCCCTAATCTTCCCAAGATTCTGCCAGGTAAGTATGAGTCATTCATTTGTTTGAGCAACACACATTTTTGTGTTAAGTGGTTGTTAGGAGGCCAGCTGTGAAGAAGGTGATGGGAATAGAACAGTGAAGAAATTATTTGATTTCCATGTCCTTAAGGCATTTCCCCTTGTTGGACAGAAATACAAACAGGTAATTAGAATGGCTTGTTATGTCCTCAGACAGTCTTAGGGGGCATATGAATTTTTGCAGAGTTTAAAGTGAGCGTTGTATATGTATCTTTGACTTAGTCATTCCCATCTAAAAATGTTTCCTATGGAAATAGCCTGCACGCAGTTGAAAAGGCATTTGGCAAGGATGGTGATTATGCTGGTGGCAACATTGCTGTCATGGTAAAATGCTGAAAAAGCTCATTGTCCAGAGAATGGTTATGTCATTACCTTATGTACATACACTGAAACACTTGGCAATGTTAAAAGAAGAAAGTAGATTCCTGTGTTGACACAAGTCTGTAATGTATTGTTAAATAACACAAACATGTTGTAGAAAAATATATAATCAAAATCTACATAATAGAAACACATTACTTAAAGATAATAACGGCAAAGAAAAGGAAAATGAAAAAATTCTATAAGCATCATACCAGATTCTTAGCTCTGGTCCACTTTAAGCAGAAAATGGAGAGGTAGACGGGGGTAGCATTCATGTATTAATCTATTATTTCAATTTGACAAAATAAGTGAGTCCTTTTGAAATACTTTATTATTTATTTTTATTTTTTAAAATTTATATACATTTTATATCACTGTTCATTTTTAAACAATGTTTGCTCCCCCGCCGCCCGCAGGTGTAGTCCCCATAGAATTTCCTTAAATACTTTATTTATTTATTTATTTATTTATTTATTTTTGTGGGACCCTCGCTGGCTGCCAGGGAACGAACCGGTGGTGCAGAGGCTGCGGGCAGCCTCACAGCCCAGCGCTCAACCGCTGCGCCACCACCAGGGGAGGCCCCCTTAAATACTTTAAACAGAAAAAATAGCGAGGCAGGAGGGATTACGGCAGAGTTATGTCCAGATTCCTGTGGGGACACAAAGCACTAGACTGGAGGTGGAACACGGAGAGGGATCCCTGGAGGAGGGTGTGCACACAGTCAGCTCTGGAGAGGGACAGACAGAATGGGGACTGCTGCTCGGGAGCACCCCAGAGGGTTTCCAGGTCAGCATCCTTGGAGGTGGCCACCTATGTGCACTGACAGTGTGCCCAGGTCATCCTGAGTTCTTCTTCCTTCCTTAGCTGCCATCGTGCATCAACTATTATTCCTGAATATTTGTCACATTTCCCCTCATCTCCACTGCTGTTGTATTCAGGCTTAACATTTGTCACCTGGACTGAGGAGAGAGAACACATTCCAATAGGTCACTGGGTCCCTATCTGTACCCCGTTTCTCCTACCAGTTTTTCCTACACTTTGCTGAATGATCTTCTGAAAATGTAGTTTCGACATCACTAACTCCCTTCTTAAACTTTTTCAATGATACTTCACAGATTCTGGGATGTAATCCACCCTTTTAAATCCCTTTAAATCCACCCTTTTAAATCCAGCATACTGAAACTCCACCTTTCCCATCTCCCACCCACAGTAGCCCTAATTTAGAATATTCAGGATTATCTTCATTTCTTTACAAATGTCACTCTTCAAACAAGGGATACATGTAGGTAAAGAGAGAAAATCCATGATATTGATTTGACTTAGTAGTTGGTTGTTAGCCTAACAACATGCAAATATTCTAACTTGTTACTCCCTTTCTGGGAATTAATGTCTATAATTTCATATTTTTCAGGAAACAATTTAGAAATTAATACATGTTAGGGCAAATAGTCTGCTTGCTGCCTTAAGGGTTATTTTCTTTTGTAAATATTCTTGAAGGATGCTTCTCATGGCAGAAGAATCTGGCATTAATTTGTATAGTTGTCTATTCTAAATCTGGATATATACTCCACCTTTCTAGAATACACACTGTTCTAAAAACACTACACTGACTAAACAGTGTATTTGCTTTGGCTGAACTTAGGGTTAATGGGTGGACTCCATGGACATAATAATTAACAACTGAATTAGGGTTCTGGGAGGGATTGATTTCAAGATGCTGCTACATATTATCCTTCATCCTCTCATCTACTGAAATTGTATCTTTGTTTTATTTTTAAAATTTTACTGAATATTAATAAACAATCCTTTAAAATAAATAATGGAGGTTGGTTTCATCTTGTTGATACTCAGAAATGGTTGGACTTTATAACATAGTCAAAAGGAGACCCAAGTAATATGCTATCATCTGGCTCCCTCTGGTGGACAAATCTATGAAACAAACTCCAACTACCCACTGATCTTTTTTGCTAGGACATGAATGTGGGGGTGTGTGGGTGTGAATAGTTCTGGTTATTGGTAGAAAAAGAAACAAAAATTGAATTCTTATTATGTGAATACATCAGAATTATTATAGAAAATATCCCCAGGGAATAAAATACATTTCTGTGATAATACATGAAAAACAGTAACTATAAATGCAAAGCAGTACTAGTGACACTGCCGGCACCACAGTGTAAACTGGAATCGAAGCAGGTTTTGCCTCATAGTATTACAACAGTGCCACATCGGGATGAGACATGCTGAAATTAAAAAGATATAGTTAATTCATCAGCCTAAATTCTCCACAGATTATTCCGGAATCTTCCCAAAGCTAGAATTTCACTCAGTAATAGCTTATTTTGAATCCTATCAAATTATTATTTTTGTCTTAAATCAGTTTATTTCGATAAGTTGTTCAGTTGTGATTTTCTGAATTTATAGACTCATTGGAGATGATTTATCTTTATTATGGGAAATTAATTGATATTGAGTTTTATCAAATTAATTGATATTGGTTATGTCTTGCTTTCATATGACATGTTCAATAAGGTTAAACCAAGAAGAAATTGTATAAGGCTTTCAATAAAATTTTAATTACAAATTATTTTATATAATAAGTTCACATTTACTGAGTTAAGCATTTGGGCATTATCTCACTTAAGTTTTTCAACTATCAGACAAGTAGCTATTATACTCTATATTTTGTAGAACCTGGTAAAGGTGAACTTAGTACTCATCCAGGTATTTTACTGAGGAGCTATGAGTTTCTAACTACAATTTACTGCATCCTGAGGTGGGACAGAGATAAGTATATATGTAGTTGATAACCTTATGATGCTTCTTCAGCACTGGATGGAGATTTTGGTTTTATGTTTCCATCTCTGAACTGAGAAATCATAAGTTTCCCTCAACTTACAGATAGATTTTTGTCTTTTCTCCTTTTTTTTTCCCTCATCTGACCAGACCATATAGTAGAATTTGTCTAGGTTTTATAGCTGGGACAAGTTATTTATTATCATAGCGACAGATATCATAAGAAAACTATATTTAACTCAATTGATTTCATGACTGAATCTTTGAAAGAGATGATATTTGGTATAAAAATGGGAAGGAGGGTAAAATTGCTAGGGGCTGATGCTAAAGCTGTAACAGGACACATGTAGGTTAGATACTGGAGATCTTCATAGGGAATCTTTGAAAAAGAGATATTCAAGGTGAATATAGGAAACTTTCTGAAATGACTCAGAATAAAGCAATATTCTTAAAGGTGGTCATTGTAATAAATAGCTACCAGTTAAGAATTGTGCATTTTCTTTTTTAAATCTCACAATAATCTACTACTTGCTAATGATCTGTTATTATAGGCAGCATTCACATGAGATGCTTGAAGCCCGAGAACTTAAGTAATTTTCCTGGCTGATAGGTGGTAAAAATAGGATTTGAACTCATGTGGTCTGGCTCATGGGCCCATTCTCTAAACCACTTTGCTGAGAGCAGTACTGTCCAATAGAACCTTCTGTAATGATGGAAATGTCCTGTCTCTGTGGTCCAGTAAAATAGTGACTAGCCTTGTGTGATTGCCAAGTGCTTGAAATGTGGCTAGGATACATAAGGAACTTAATGTTTTTGTCTTAACATTTTATTTATTTATTTTCTTGAGAAGTGGGGTACAGGCCAGAGTCCCGGGGAGGGGGGTGGTGGTAGTGAGAGGATTCACCAGAGAGAGTGGGGAGCAGACAGGCAGATGTACTGAAATACACTACTGAGGGGAGCAGTGGGTGAGACAGGAGAGGTTTGCCGCGCCATGTGGGTTTCTCCTGGTTGGGAATTGAACTCGCACTGCAAAGTCCTCAGACAACCTCACAGTGCTGTGCTCAAACCCCTGTGCCACCAGGGAGGCCCTGTCTTAACATTTTAATTTAAATTGCTTCATGTGGCCAGTTACTACTGTCTGGGGATAGTATAGCTTTGCAACATCTTTCATATTCTGTAGAAGTAGACATAGATATACTACCAATAGGACTGCTGAGAAAACTGCAAACTAGATGGTTTAGTTATCTGCTTAGTCAAAAAGTATTAATAAAAGGAAGGGAAAAATTACAAACCAGTTATTTATGTTTCCCAGTCATAGCTCTTCTCATTCTGCACTTTTTGGCATTTGCAAAGCATACATTTCTACTGCTACCATTAATATTAGATTGTAGAGTTACTATTTTGGAAGGCATACATGTTTGGAAGTACATTTTCAAATAACACGTCTTCTCTTTTCTCAGGTTATAGAAACGTTATCACGACTTTCTCGCACACCTTTTGCGTTGTCCACAGGAATCAGGTAAGCTTGTTTCTCTGTGGTTCAAATGACCCGTTCAGTTCAATATAATGATTACTTGTTGACTGGGTTGCTACTTGCAAATCACTTTGCATACAGTGATCATGTCTTATTTATGTCAATGTAAATGCTGAATACACAATTGAAATTTATTGAGCAAGTAAGAACTTTTTTATTGAGTTGAATAAGACACATTGGGTAAATATTGCTCTCAACTTTGTAGTGATTATCATTGACTAGGTTCTTTTGAAAAATTTCCTCCAGCATATCTCTATATGCAATTTAGCAAGACAAGCAGAAGACATGGTTAAATAAATAGTACATCTTACAAAACTCAGCAGCAGATCCTGAGCCACTCTTACCCCAGATACAAAGCAGAGTGACCCTTGGTAGAACATTCTGTGGGCTCTTTCTTAGAAATGGGCTGGGAGTTTGGCAGATTTCAAAATAGCTAGTCCATAGGCTGGATCAAGTCTTAATCTCTTGTAATTTTGCTGTTCAGTACATGATTGTTGATACACCCATATCAACACAAATTTTATTTTGCTATTTGTAAACAGCAAATTTTGAAATAGCATGATTCTACTTTGAAATAGCATAATCTGGGGTACTCTTGATTCTGAAAGCATAACATTAAAAGGTTTTTTCCCCTCTATTAAATTATTCTTATCTATATTTAATTTTTTCTACAATGGGCCTGTAATGGTATCAGCATAATAAAACAGGCCTAATTTTGTTTGAAAAAAAGATCTTGAATCTTTGGTATTTCTCCCACATTTTAATTAATTACTTTTTAAAACATGCATCCCTCAAACATTTTAAGTATTAAATTAATCTATAAAGCCAATGTGAAAATCTGCTTTTCAATATACTAAATATAATTATTTAGTGCTTATTTATTATTTTAATGGATCTTCTTTTATGAAACATTTGACATCGTGTAAAGGAAGAGTAAAACCTTGGCATTATAGGTAATTACTGTGATTTTAAGACATAAACTTATGTTGGTGTTAATAAAAAAAATTCATGGTAGTGTGAGACAAAAGAGCCAATGGTTAGTCATTGGGGATAAAATAAAGTGATTTTCTTCAAACAGGGGAGAAAGAAAATACCCCATTTTCCTTGAGGACCAATTGATTTCATTTTGCCAATAACATGAAAATAAAAAAGTACAACTTAAACTACTTTTCTAGTCTGAACAGAAAAGTATATCAGAATCAATAGTCACATATAGAGGACCTGGGAGTTTTGTCTGCTGATAATTTCCATCTGTACTTGTGAGCTGAGTCATGCAAGGATGACTATCATCAGGTTGTCAGAACAGATTCCGTAAGTGCAAAGACACAGTGCTGAAGGCAGGGCACTTAGGCGGTTGCTTGTTCTCTGAACTCATGGTGAGGGGGGCTGTGGTGGGTGCTGTGAGGTGAGCCATTAGGGAGCATGCCCACAACTGCTCACGTGACTGTGGTGACATCATGTGGTTGCATAATTGCAATGGGTGATTTTGGGTAGCAGGTGCCACAGCCTCCCTGGGGAACCCCTGCACACAGCCACAGGGCAGGCACTGTGGGAGAAGCCCCAGTGTTGCGTCAGACAGTGAGTGACTCACTGACCACTGGGGTAGCACATGAGCCTAGACCTTTAGTAAGAGGAAAACACCCAGCCCTGATGTTGCTGATTCACCCTTTCTCCCTTTCCATCTTTCCTAGGCCCTTCCCCACAGAAGAAAGTGTGGATGATGAAGACATCTACAAAGCCCTTCCTGATTTAATAGAGTACGTTGAGTGTTTTCAGCAAAATTAAACCACTGCTAATTTTTATATTTATGGCTTTTGACTGTAGATGTTCAAATAGTTTTCAGAAGGGAAAAGTAGCCACTTTTAATGACTAATAATTAATGTCAAAGAGGTGATGGAAAGCTTCATAAGCAAATGTTCTTTAACAGGCTTCTAGTTCCTCTTGTGTGTCTTACATTGTGGGAGCCATGTAATGAAGAGTAAGGACACCTACCGCCATGAATCGAAATTTGGATGGTTCTCAAAGGCATAATAGATGTAGTAGATGAAACTGGAATTAGATAACTAAGGAACACTTAAAAAGTGAAGTAGAATCTATGGCTGCAGTTGTAGGAGAGATAGTGTTTTGTCAGTTTAAGGAAGACAAGGCAAGCATGGGCTGGTGGTGTTCATTAGATGGTGCTTATCCTGTAGGACTTTATCACTTAATAGTCAGGAAAAGAAGATAGTTCTTGCAGCTGATTATCTTCTGCTGATTGAGTGACTGATGCCTATTACAAATAAATATTAAATGTGATCCTCCCCGCTCAAGGAACTGATAACAAAGTTCAGGCCTGTTTGCATAGAATCCCAATTAGAAATAGGTTAGGTTCTAAGAAAGACTCAAATCCTTGGCAATTCATCCATTCATTGATTTTTCCATCCTAGCACAGTCACCACTCTGAGCTTGTTCTTTAGAGCCATCATGCCTACTGTTCCTTTCTGCCCATACCTCTGACCCCTCGCCATTCAAGTGTCTGCTCAGATGTCGCTCTGCAGAGAGACCCTCCAAACTATACTGTCTGAAGTTGCTGCCACCCCTTACCCAGCTCTGGGTTTTCATGGCACTATCACTCCCTGATAATGTTCTTTGCTTCATTTATTGATTGTGTTCTCATTAGAAAGTAAACTTCATGAGGTCAGGGACTTGACTGTCTTTCTAGAACTTCAAGCAGTATCTACTAGGTCCTATTTTTAATGAATGAATAATTCTTTTAAAACTGCATTAAGCATCTAATATTTGCTAGGCTTTATACTTCAGGCCTGAGCTATCCAGTCAGTTCTTTTTTATTTTTTTTTTAAGATAGATTTATTTATTTATTTATTTATTTATTTATTTATTTATTTATTTATTTATGCAAGCACTGGGTATAGTCAGAAGCGTGGGAGGGTGAGAGAATTCACCAGAGTCAGAGCAGGGAACAGAACAGGCAGACTGATGAAATATACTGCTGAGGGGAGCAGGTCTGCATGCCATGTGGGACCCTCGCCTAGCGCCCGGGGATTGAACCGGTGCAGCAAAGGCTGCGGGCAGCTTCGCAACCCAGCGCTCAACCACTGCGCCACCTGGGAGGCCCCTCCAGTCATTTCTTAAGAGCTTATTGAGTGTTTGATTCTGTGCACACCATGTTCTATGCACAACAGAAGGTGACACACAAACTTATGAGGTCTTTGCTATTAGCATCACAATTTGCCAAACAGAAAACCTAATCCTCAAAAGCTAAGGATCTTCCTGAAGGTCATATCTTGAGTAAATGGTGGTCTTCAAATTGAACTCAGATGGTTCTTATTCCAGAACAGACACTCTTAAACAGGATTGACTCTTGGAAGGCCCCTACTTGCTCCTTAAAGAATGTTCCACTGCAGAGGAGAGGAGAGAGAGGCACTGACTACATCGCCTGTCTAAGCCCCTCAGGGTGGAAGTTCTGGGAATGCCAGTATGACCCACCATCTCTCTGCTTTTCCACAGTAGAAGGTTGAGAGGCGTCCTTCATGCCTTTCACCTCTCTCCTTAGCCCTGATTGGTTGCCAAGTCTGGTTGTCACTACTTGATACAGTCTCCTAAGTTTCTGTTTTTCTCCTCATCTGTCGTCACCCTAATTATGGCTGAGTATCTCTCATGCATGGTGTTTAGTTTCTTGACTTCCTGATGTCCTTACCTCTCTTCTCCCTTCCCGCTACCCCAAGATAAAAGTCCCTGTTGATTCCGAGCTCACAGAATGCAAGATCCTCCACAGTTTGGGTCAGCATTTCACACTGACCAGGGCCCTCTCCTCACATTGCTGGTTCTTCACACCTCTGTCTTTATGCATGCTGGTGTCCTCCGTCTGGCATGCTCGCCCCTCTTCTCTTGCAGTGAGTCTCACCCCAGGGGTAGAGACTGTGTCACCTTGTGTGAAGCTCTGGTTCCTGGAGCATAGACTCATTCGGCGGATACCTGCTGAATGCATTGACAGTTACTGCTAAGAACCAATTCACAGGGATTATCTTTGGTGACAACTTTCCTGACTTCTTAGAGTTATTCTTACTGTTTCCTCTGTTCCTTTATTCCTCACTCATCTCTTTTCTTGAACTTGTAGAATCAACTGTTTTGTGCTATCTCCACAGAAGTCTACAGGAGTGCTCTTGGCTCTTCGTGATCTCTGCAGTCTTAGCACTGGAGTCTGGTGCTCAGTCGGTTCTTGGCACATGTCTGGGTGGATGCGTGGGTGGACATGTCACCTGAGAATGAATTTTTCTGAAAGCAGAGTTCTCTGTAAATCCTGTTACTTCCAGATCTCTCACACTTAGGCACCTTCCTTTCTTTGGAGTATTTGACAGTCATTTCTGTCAAATGCCAACAGATAATCCTTCACGGCCTGTAACATAGACAACCTTGTGAATGCAACTGTTTTGTAAAATGCTCCAAGTTGCAGAGTGGCATTTATGGTTAAAGTGTCTTTTTTCTTTCAAACATATAAATTTATGATGTTGTAATTGCACAGGCCCAGGAGAGATGCTAAGGGCTGGCAGTAATCTCTCTCTTTTTCAGAGAGATCTCAATGCTTCTTTGTAATGTCTCTGTGTACTTCAAATCTTTGAGATGATTGGTTTACAAAAGTTACTTATAGTAGTCATAAACTGAAAGGAAAAACTTCAGTAGTAACGTGTATTGGGTGGAACCAGCTATTTTGCCTTTTACTGAATGGGTTTGCAATCTCATGATGGGTTTCAGAAAGATTCAGCAATCAGTCACTGTAAATGCACACAGAAGCGTTAAAGATAGGGATTATTTTCCATGGCCAGGTGACCAGTAGAAGATTTTAAAGAGTTTTAAGAAATATATTATGACCTTGGGACCATTTCTTTAAGCAAAATAAAAACAGATAAAAGCAGAATCTGATTGAAGGGCGACCAGTGAGTTGACTTCAAGAATCATGGCTTCAGATATAAACAATATTAACCATCTGAAAAACAATGTTTTTAAAAGGCTATTTATAACATATTAGGTTCTCCCTAACTTCTCTGTCCTCCCCTTATTATACCCTTTAATACAGATAGTGAAACCGAAGTCTTGAAATATAATATGTAAAATGGGAGGCAAAATGGGGCCTCCCTGGTGGCACAGCGTGTTGAGCACGGCACTGAGAAGCTGTCCGCAGCCTTTGCAGCGCGGGTTCAATTCCCGGCCGGCCAGGGAGAAACCCACATGGCATGGCAGACCTCTCCTCTCTTGCCCGCTGCTCTCCTCAGCAGTGTATTTCAGTCAGTCTGCCTGTTCTGTTCCCCGCTCTGTCTCTGGTGGATCCTCTCACCCCCGCTCGCCTCTGACCTGTACCTCAGTTCTTGTAAAAATAAATAAATCTTTAAAAAATAAATAAAATGGGAGGCAATATGCTAGAGTGATGAAAAGTATAAGAATGTAACAGAGATTTTAAATCCTGGCCCTGGCATTGTTTAGCTTTTATCTTAGACTAATGCAGTAAACTCTCTCTCTCTCTAAAATGGATCAAACCATAATGCTCACCTGATAACTCACTGAATGCTGGGCTTGGGTGAATGAAATGAGATAATTTGTATAGGGTGATTATATGCTTGTGCATCGTAACAAATTCAGTGAATGTTATTGCTTTGGCCATCCTTATTAAATTCTGTTTTTGTTGTTTGTCATTTTTTTTATTGGGAGGGACAGAGCTATAATGCAAATTTCTGACTCCAGTATCCCATTTTCTGTCTTTTCTGGATTTTCTACTAAGATTGAGTAAGCTGTTTCTTATTCTATATATTGAAGAATAGAAAATGACCTTTATATTGTCCCCTTTGTTCTAGTGAAACCCACGTGGACGATGAAGAAGGACTCTACGACTGTGTTTATGGGGAAGATGAGGGTGGAGAAGTCTACGAGGACTTAATGAAAGCAGAGGAAGCCCATCAACCGGTGGGACTTTCACTTGTCTTGTTTTTCACTCTGAGCATTTTAGTAGGAAAGTAATTGCATGAAAGACTAACTAATATAATATTTATGTAACTTCCATTGGAAGTTACTGTTTTGTTTGTGTTACCTGTGCTTGCTATTTGGAGACATACAAACATGGCATTTTATAGTTCAAAGCAACCAAAAGGAATCTTGCTCTAATCCTTTCATATTTCTGGCAAGAAAACCTAGTCTCAGAGTAAAATGACATCTCACCCAGCTAATTAAATGCCTGGGTGGCAATAGAACATAACTTCAGGGAATCATGAAATTACATTGTTCTAAAAGGAAACCTCTTACAAACAGGCAAATGCTCTCTAAATTTGATGTAGGATAAAATATATATCAAAGAATATTATTTCATATTTGTGAGATGTTAATAAGTCACTTTTTCTTTCATTCTATGATGTGTCTAGCATTTTTACTATTTTATAACCTTAGTGTCAGTTATTGTCATAGTTGATATGCGTCTACAAAACTTTTTTTATCATTAAAATATCTAGAACATTTAGAAAGAATTATTTGGGTTTTTTTGTCATGTATAATTTATGGCCAAAATAAAACCAGTTGCACCAGCTTTTATTAATAGAGTCTTCTTTTATACTAAAAACTTTCATCAGCTAGGTGGTGATTTAGGTTTTTTCCAGGGCTTCATTGAATTTGCTCAGCTCTTTGTACTCTTACCTTTCATAAAAGGCTGGTGGACTGTCCACTGCCCTGATGGGAGGACAAACCTGTATGGGACAGCGTGTTTATAGTAAATGTAATGAATGAGCGCTTTATCCACTACTTGAGCTGACAGGCTGCCTGTGGTAGCATTTTAAGAGTGTTTTTAGTGGCAGAGTATCATCTGTACCTCCTATAATTATCAACGGCATTGGGTGCCAGAAAATTATTCTGTGACTTTCCCAAGGGCAGTCTTCATTCAGCTGACAGCTCTGGCTATTTATGTGGGACAGGGTCAGTGATGGTAATGATCTAAATGCATAGATTACCCTGCAAGGTGCTACGAGCTTTACATCTGTGATTTCGTTGACAGCTCCTTAGAGGTGGTGTGTTTATCTTTACTTTGCAGATGAGAAAACTGAGTCACAGAGAAATTAGGTAACTTGTCCATAATAACAAGCTAATAAAAGCAAAACTGAACATTGTTTTATGTGATCCCAAAACCTTTGCTCTTTCTGCTGTGTGCTTCTACCTCCAATCTTCAGAGCTTAGTGAAAGAGCCAAACACCAACGTTTTAGCTCTAGAAAAAATATTTGAAGAGCTTTACTTACCAACTATCCTTTTATTATTTTTGCATTTATTTCTACAGCCCATGTAAAGTATACTCTATGTCAAAGAAGCCATATTTGCACTATTTATGGTGGTTTCTATTCAATAACACACAATAAAAATTGTTTTAATGTAAAGAGTGTCTATACTCAAAAGCTTATTTTCAATCACCTAATCATTTCCATTGTTCAGTGCTGTCATTTCAAAGCAGCAAATATACTTTACATATGTAGTTAAATCTATCTTTGATGTGTTTTGTTGGAATGGAAAACTAAAAAAATGTCAATAATTTTTACCTCTTTCTACTACTACCCAGTAGATGAATAAATGCATTTGACTAAATAATTTTATCATTCCAATTGCAGAAAAGTCCAGAAAATGATATACGAACTTGCTGCCTAGCAGAAATTAAACAGACAGAAGAAAAATATACAGAAACTTTGGAATCAATAGAAAAAGTAAGTCAGCAGGTATTTTCTTGATGTAGCAGGTATTTTCTTGATGTCCAAATACTGCCTTAAATAGTTAATCTATTAGGCTCATTGTTTCTGTGTTAGTGTGTTTGTGTGTGTGTTTCGGTGTTCTAATTTTCAGTAAAAAGTTCGGGTTTAAAGATCTCAAAGCAGATGTATTCATCAACTTTTTATTGATTTTTTTTTTTTTTTTTTTTTTTTTTTTAGAATCTGAATGGTACTGTTCGAGGTATATGTAGCAGTAAACACTAGGAAACTAGATCTAGTTTTAGTGGCTTTCACCTTCATCAGTGGGCTTATAGAGTAAGCAAATAAATATGTCAGGTGGTAGTAAATTATCCAAAATAAAATAAGGCAGAGGAAACAAACAGCGATGGGGTAGTGCTGTGATTGTTTTGTGCAGAGTTGTAACAGAAGACCTCTGAGATAAGATCCTATTTAAGTAGACATTTGAGTGACTTGAAGGAGTGCTAGTATTTGAGAGATGACAATTCCTGGGAGAAAGGTCCTCGGATGAGAGTGTTCAGCTTGCTTCAAAGAACAGTGGCAGCTCAGGTGGGTGAAGCAGAATAAGAGGAGAGCAGTGAAATCAGAGAGCTGGTCAAGCACCAGCTCAGGTAGGGGTGTATTGGAGCTTCTAGCACAAGGCTCGGGTGTCTTGAGTACAAGTGACATGATATAACAGATTTTTAGCAGCTCAATCTGATTCTTACCTGGCAAGGATGGAAACTGGGGGAACTGTTAGGAGGATGTTGTAATCAAGTTGACAGAAAATACTGGTATTAGTAGCCATGGTAAGGGATAGTTAGATTCTGAATGAATTTTGAAAGAATAGTTAACTGGATGATGAATTAGGTAAAAGATATGAGGGAAATAAAGAATGCTAGGATTTTGTCACGAGCAGCTGTATGAATGGGGGAGGTACTTACTGAGATGGGGACGGACAGATTTAGGAATCATGAGTCTGCTGGGACGTAGTAAATTTGCAAAAGAAGGTTAAGGAGGGAGTTAGCTATATGAATTTCTCATTAAGGGGAAAGTTCAATTGACATATAGATAGGGCCTTTATAATTATGCAATTGCGTTTAAGGCCGGGGACAAGATGGGATTACCTAGGAGATGAAGTTGATAGAGGAGAGGTTTGAGGTCACCTCTGCTGATTTCCACATTTATAGGTTAGGAAAATGAGGACTGTGGAAAGTTTTGGAAGTTTAGGAAGAAACAAATGTGTGAAGCATTGTTTAGGGAACTGGGAAAAGAAAATGACTAAGGATATGTAGTTGGATTAAGTAGCGTTGAAGGTGCTATTGAATTTTTGGATAACATTTAAAATTAAACCATCAAGTGTAGTTCATGTTTAACTTCTTAGGTATAGGCATTAAATGTGTGGCAAGATAGATTTAACCTGGGTTTTCATTTTTTGAGATGGAATAATGAAGAAAGAGAGAGTGAGGGTATACACAGGGCAGTGATTCTTACAATGACTCGTGGATTGTGAACTGGGTGAGAGGGAAGTGAGGAGAAGAGAGATGTGGGATTGGCAGAGCCAATGATGATGAAGAATCCTTGAAGGAATGAGCTGTAAATGTAAGAGGTAGTGGCCAGACAGCCAATTGCTGAAATGAGTGCCTGGAATGCATGCATTTGTTGATAATGACAAGGTCTTGGGATCTGCCCTTCCAAGTAGAGAGCCAAACTAGGATGGTGCATGTTTTTGGAATTCAAGGAACTGAGAGGCCAGATTATTGGAAGGATTGCTTGTAGCTTCTGTCCCAATATTGCCAATAATGAAAATGGAAGTAGGAATGGAAAGCGCTATGATAGGTCACAAACTAACTCTTCAAAGAATGAAGGGATTGGATCCATAAATTGCTTAAGCAGTAGTCTTTTATTTTTTCTTACTTCCAGAAGCATTTATTTTTTAAACCTTCTATATTTTTTTAACATTTTTTTGGTGTGGCTGTATTTATTTATTTATTTTGTATTATTATTCATTTTTGTACAATATTTAATTTCTTCCCTCAAGTGTAATCCCCATAAAACTCTCACTACAGCATCCATAAACCATGACCCTTGTGCTCTTAAGACCCTTCCATTTTGACCCCTGTCCCTCCACACCCCCTGCCACTGTATTCCTCTGATTCATAATTTGCCTGTTAGTATTTTATTCTGACCCCTTGTTTGTAAACCTTCTATACTGTAAACATATGAGTGTACTTATATCATTAGATCTCTGTTCAAGTGTGAAATCTTTTAACTAGAGAAAATAGTTTCTGCTTATTTTAATATTCATAATACTGGACTTTTAACAGATATTTATTGTTTGTTGATGAAAAACTGTTACATGGATTAAGGGGTATGTTGTGCTTTTGTGCTTAATTATCACTCTTCTATTCTCTCCTGGTAGTATTTCATGGCACCATTAAAAAGATTTCTGACAACGCAAGAGTTTAATTCAGTATTCATCAACATTCCTGTAAGTAAAAATAATGCTAATAAAATTTGGTTTACTTCTATAAAATACTCACTTTTCTTATTGGGTCCAAAATCTTATTTATTTTTATTATATATATATATTACATATATATATTTTATTATATATATTATATATAATATATATATATTACATCATCCTTCCTTTTCTGTACAATGTATGATTTCCCATGAAACTCCCACCACCAATTCACCTGTGCACCCTCACTATGGTCCCTTGTGCTCTTCCCACCGCAAATTCTTCTTTTAACATTCTCCTGACCCTGATTTTTGCCTTATGAGTTCTTATGAGTTCTTTTTGCCTTATCAGCTGTATTTTTTTTTTTTTTTAGAAACAGCTAATATGTCATGTCTTCTTTCAAAAGTCTGTCAATACATGCAGAACACAAATGGATCAGTCAGCTCTTGTGTTATTCTTGACTGCTAGCCAGGAAGTGGTAGTCTTAGTTAAATAATCCCCCTGTTGCATCTATTTCTTTGTGCTGTGGAACCCAGACTTCTCTCCCTAAGGGCATCTGTCTCCACCACTTCCTTGGTTGCTGCTCTTGAGTGCTTTCTGCTTCCAGTTGTATCTCCCTTAGCACACATTTCTGATATCCTCCCTTTTTCTGAAGCATGCTTCCTATGATTTAACCATCCATAGTCATGGTAAGATAAGAGGTGTTTTTTTTTTTTTCACATTTATGTAAGCATTTTGATTACAAGGTTCCTTACAATTATCTTAAAATCCCAAAAGGATACATACCCAGAAGTATAGAATCAATGAGGTCATGCAAGGCAAATGCAAGTTCCTAGGCCTCTATAACTGACTTTGGTTTTAATATATAACATGTATATGCAACATACAAGTTTTAACTTACAGACTTGTCTGTGTCACCTAAGAGGTCCATTATATTTTGATTGTTATGTTCAGTTTAGAGGCACCCAGTCCATTAGCTGCTGCATACTAGCCTTGATCTTGATTTTGGCTACATGAATACATTCTCAGTGATTTGTAACATAGCAGGAAGAAAAAGAGCACAATAACAAATGGGCATTTAACATAAAGCCATTTGTGCACTGGAGGAAGATGATGATGGTGAACCACCTAAATACAATTACTATAACTTAGGGCCCGTTGACAGTTTATATTCTCACTGCTTTTCCATGCTTTTCAACAAATGACAGGACCAACATAGTCACATTTCATTTCTGCCCTGCTGGGGAAAAGCAGCTGGTGGAGTCCACATGTGCTCCAAGGTACACGGGGAGAGATAATGGGAGAATTGCCATCTTGATTCCAATTTTCTCATTTCCCGGCTCTGACATGTATTTGCCGCCTGACTGAAAATTACTTGCTTATCAGGAAAAATGTGAAATTCTGATTTTTGAGTTGCTCCAGTAAACTGCCTAGTGCAATTTATTTGCTCCTTATTTATGCCATTAGTTGTCTGATTTCAAGTAATTTAGTCTGATTGTTGTTAGCTTAGCACCAGGGCATCACTAATTGACCAAAGTACAAATCTACATTTTTATGTCCTGAGGACATGAATCATTACTGTCAATAAAACATTAAGTACTTGGATAGTTTTATTTAAAAATTTAAAATGATTATAAAATGAAAATGAGCTGTGTGTATTTTTATACAAGGAATAAATTATCCTGTAATAACTAGTGAGACAATTTCTTTTTTTCACAGAACACTGGCATTTCAAGTTAGGTCTGAAATTGCTATTTTCCATGCATGTGGCCCCCCTCTCTCTCTTTTTCACTCTCTCCCTTTCTTTTACCCCTTTTATTGCCCCATTTCCTTCTCTCTTTTCCCTCTACTCTCACTTTCTCTCACTTCTCTCTTTGTTGGTGGTAGCAGATGTATATGTCAGGAGCAGTCAGCATAGTTTTGCTTGCCAAGTCTCGAAACAATAAGGATTCTGAGTTTGTGGTAATTTTGTGGTGGTTATGATTGCTGATTTCCTTTCACATTGTTTTCTTTTCTAAGGAACTTGTAAAAGTTCATCGAAACCTAATGCAAGAGATCCATGATTCCATTGTAAATAAAAACAACCAGAACTTGTATCAAGTTTTCATTAATTACAAGGAAAGGTAACTTATGAATTTTAAATTTTATGGCTGTTAGTTTGTAATTAGAGCGAGGATAGTGTTAAATTGCTAATTACTACCCGTTACTGCTGCTCATTAAAATACAACCTGGGCTGAATTAGAACATCAGGCAGTGAATCTCAGGGTGGTAGTGTGAGTTCTATATGTATGTGTAGCCAAAGAAAAGATCCAGTGACACTGTGTGCTGCTCAAACATTTGCATTGCAAATCCAAATTGTGGGTTCTTTTGCAGACCCAGTTACCATTGAGTTCTGTAATCTTCCTTTTTAGTGCCATAAATATGAGTGATTCGTGTTCTGTGACTATGTGACATGTGTTAAAAAATGAAGAAGCTGAGGTTCAGAGAGATTATGATTAATTTGCACAAGGTCACCTAGTTATTAAGAGGTGCAGGATGAGTGAGATTTGCTGTGCTTATCCATAACTTTGCTTTTAAATAGATGAACATCTTCCTCTTTCCCTGTCTACTTTATTCTTTTGCTTTTTGATCATACAGATTTCTTCCTCTTGTTTCCTTTCAGGTTGGTTATTTATGGGAAGTACTGCAGTGACGTGGAATCGGCCATCTCTAGTTTAGACAACATTTCTAAAACAAAAGAAGATGTCAAACTGAAATTAGAGGTGCCTGTTTATTTTTTGTTTTGTTTGTGTGACATAAAGTAAACCTGTAAGTAATATATTACTTTTCATGATAAATGTGGTAGTACATTTCTCCATATAGTCTTTTTTATGTCTATTTTATAAAATATTTTATTAGATTGCTTTATGAAACAACACTCTAGTATTAATAATGACAGTAGTAAAATCTAAGATGTTGGCTCTGTTTTATGTGCATTATCTCATGGTATCCTCATGACCCTGTGAGATAAACTCAATTAACTTTCTTATCTTATGGGTAAGGGAGCTGTAAGATAAGCCAAATTTCAGAGACATTATGGATAATTTGCCCTGGATCACCTGAGTGGTAAGAGATGAGGGGTAAATAAGGTATACATGAGATAATGCATATGTAGATTTAAAATGTTTGTCAAAAAGTAAGACATTTAGGGACAGACATATAAAAGGGTATGGATATTGCCTGTAAGAAAGGAATACAAAACTGACACAAATATAAGATTTTTCCACAAATATAAAATGTGAGATTAAGTAGTATGTGACATGCACTAATTGTTAGGGCTTCCTGAGTACAAATGAGCCATCACCTCAATGTAGGGAAGAAAGCGGAAGAGTCATCATTTGAGTCAGATCACCGAATAATAGATGAGTCTTAACAGATGAGATAACACGAAGAGCATTCGGGGAGAATTGGTATATGTCTTAGTCAGAAAAGTTAAGCATTTGAGAAATGACCAGCAGACTTATGTAAACTGAGCAAGGGTAACAATGGGAAATAAGTTTGGAATCTATTAAGTCATTTTTTTCACAAGCAGAATTTATAATTTCAATGACCTTTTAAAAAACAATTCCATGTCATATGAATTTTCATTCCATGTCACATGTTTGGCTTTTTCTTAAATTCAGGCAGAGATAAATTGTCAACTCTTAAATGACCATGTGTGGCTTAGTTGGCTTTCTAATATTCCTGTGTTGCTCTTTGTCCAGTTTAGCAGTGAGGTCAGGTGATGAATAGGGAGAAAAGAGCAGGTGATTTTCAATTCAGAACCACTTTATTGTTTCAGCACATCTGGTATGTTTCATAATTCGTAACTCCCATAAACAGGAACTATTGGCTAGAAAGTTTGCACATCAATAGGCTACAAAGTCATACTTGGTATGACTCATTCTATAACATGGATCTTTTTTCCTTACCTCTTACAACTCCTTACTGATGTGAGACTTATGTCTGGAGATGGTTTGAGTCACCACTAAATAACACCCTTACAACCTTGTTATTAGTGTAAAGGGTTCTTCCTTTTTTGGAGAACAGAACCTTATAAGCATAGAACTATAATCCACACTGACTCAAAATTTGATAAGCTAAAACTTTACAATGTATACAACTAGTTCCTAGTAGAACTATCATTCAAACAACTTCTAAAATAAATATGTAAAATTCTGGCTCAAGAAAGTCATCAATGAGCTGTCAGTCAATCTTCCATTATATTCTTAGCATCGTTTGAATAGTACTCTTCCTTTAGGGTCACTATTAAAGTCCTGCCCAGTGAGCTACTCTGGAATTCTAGGTACATGGTCTTAGGAGAATGAAGTCTTCAGGCTGGTTTTTAAGGTTTAGGATGGAGCATGCTGGCCTGTCCCTTCCTCAGTTGTAGAGCCTCTGCTTCTGCCCATGAACCCGATTTGGAAGTATTTAGTCAAATACTTAGTATAATAGTTCAGCAAACTTTATTTGCTAGAATTGTCTTCTGCAAGTCCCAGCATGATGGCAGGAAAGTTGCTATATTCTTGATGTCTCTCTGCCTCCTTCATATCTTCTGTTTTGTGTTATTTTTACTCTTGTTGATTTTTATCTTTCTCTTCTCTATTTGAAACCAAGGTAACCTGGGGTAAAAGGTAATAAAATCTGTACCTTGCTCTGTGAGCTGTCTCATTCCTGTTGCACTTTATTTTCTTCTCAATTAGGAGTTTAGGCTAAGCACATAACTGGATGTTTTAGAGGAATCATTTCTATCCATTATTTACTTTCAGTACTAATAAGTATTTTATATCTTAGTCTTAGTCCCCAGTTGTAACTGAAGTAAGCAGTATTAGTTTCTTTGCTTCCTGAAACTATAACTTATATAAGTAAAGGAACTAACTTTTCCTTGAACAGTTTTAAAACTGACTTTTGTAATAGAACAGAGTGAATTTTAAAGTTATAAGTTTTCTGTTCCTAACACTGTGTTAAGATGGCATAACATGAAAAGTATAAGATACAACCTCAATTACAAGGAGCTTAACATGGAGCTGGGAAGATGAGACTCATTCATTACAATAGTATTAACAGTTTAACCTCCTATTTGAGAGCCATGATCCAGAACTCTCTACAATTTGTAGAAGCAAGAAATCAGTTGGAATAGTTATCCTTCCAATGAACCGCAGAAATTGACAAGACCTGAGCTAACCTGTCAGGATGTGTCCCTGGTTCTTGCTTTAGATCTGCAGTCCGTCACTCATTAAGCCACTATGGTCATAGAGTTAATAGTGCCTGCTTTTTAACTCCTGATAGTATAGTCTTCCATATGTCAGAGAAGCTAAGTGTGTAGGCAAAATGGAAGCAGACTCATGAGCAAAGGAATGTTTTCTTGAACACAGCTCCTTCCACAAACTAGAAAATTCCTTGGTCTAGGTTACGCAATTGTCTGAAGATATCGGACTTATTAGATAGCTCATAATTGTACTTATGTGGAGATTTATTGTTTTTTTTTTTTTTTAACTCCACCACAGATATATGAAGAACAGTACAATCATAAAAGTGATTTATTCAAGGTCAGGACAGTTAAGAGTTACCAAACTTGATTTTAATTCAGTCTTTGACACTTCAAAATGCTTTGCTCAGAGTCATAATTAATGTCAAAAGAATAAACTCAGTTACTGCTTTTAACATAAACTTTTAAGAAAAAAGAAAATGAGATTAAAAAATTAGCATCTGTACCTTTTAAAACTTTCATCCAGTAGTAGGTTTATACTTCAAATTTTTGGAACTTATTCCCTTTCTTTCAGTTCAACAAATGATTATTAAGCAAATACTAGATTCTTAGAGGTATACGCGATATATTGGGGGAGACATTATATATGATAATAATATAAAGTTCTACACAGAGACAGAGAGAGCACAACTTTTGATAGGGATAATTACTAAAGACATAGAAGTATAGTTCTTAAAGAGAAACATGAATTTTATTGGAAACTGGACAAACACATAACAGTCAAAGACAATGAAATGAACCAGAGACAATGAAATGAACCACCATCAACCAAGGCTTGATGGTGGGCAGACACATGGAAGGTTTGATGAGAAAGGACTTATTCTTGATGTCTGGCCCATAGGCCTGTCCGAGGAGATTGGTAGAAGGTACAGAAATGGGGTTAAGTGGAAGATGACCATAGCAGGCCACTAAGAAACATACTTTTCATGCCTAAAATGTTCTATTTATTATTCATATGACATGAATGAATTCAATTATATTGAAATTCTGAGTTTTTTTGTGTGTTTTTAATTCAAGATCCATATAATTCTTTTTATAAAGAAGGATTGATAAGGAAAGCAATACAATATTTAATGTATGAAAACCGTTTTGCTTATGTCTATTGCAAGTTGTAATGTTTGTTTTATGGCTGTCTTTGATAAAAATAACATTTTTAAAAATTTTGATAAATATTTCATTAGGAATGTTCAAAAAGAGCTAATAATGGGAAATTCACACTTCGAGATTTGCTTGTGGTTCCTATGCAGCGTGTTTTAAAGTATCACCTTCTCCTCCAGGTATGTAACTGAAAGCTGTTTATTTTTTCATTTATTCATTCAACAAAATATTAATGAAGCATCAACTATATGACAGCCACTAAATATTTTGGTCCCTATCCCCTTACAGTTTTCAATTATTGGCATAGTTAAGTAGAAAATAACAGAACAGATAGCTATTTTTCCTCCTTTTAGCAAAGATGATTTTGTGTCTTCCAAGTAGTCACACTTTGTGTCCACCAAGTAGAACTGGCTCAATTTTCCCATTAATATTTAATACAAAGCAAAACAAATAACAAGACCCCTTTAAGTCTTCCAAAGTTAATAGTTATCATTTATTAGAATCTCAGTGTTGTGATACACCAGAAATTTGGCAGATTAATTGGATTAGACCTTTTGCCTTATAACCATAAACTAAAGAGAATTGCATCAAATGCTGTGTTGCTTTCTGCTATAGTACATTATAATAAGACTATATTTATTTTGATGTGATTCTTGTTATAACCCCAAAGCTTATGGTTTCCACGGTTAGTCCTCTAATGAGGGTGGGGAGTCTTATAAATTTAATTTGATAGCTGTACCAGGAGACTCATTAGTTCTGCTCCAAAGAAATGTCTTACTGTATTAGTCTGTCAACTCTGCTGATGCTTGTGAAATGTCATTTTAAAAAGATCTACTACCTGTATGTGAAATATAATTTTGAGTCTGCTCTGCTTTGTACATCTTGTATATTAAATTTCTTGAACTGTAGCTGCAAAATTATTAGTCATCTCTATTTTTGTTCTACGGAGAAATCAGAAAAATTCAAACCCTTATTATTTGTTAAAAATGCATTAAAACATTTATGAGACCTAAACGCAAAGCAACTTAATCAAATTGGATTTTATGAAAAAAAAAAAAAAAAAAAAAGGAAGACTTAGGTGAACAGTTTCTGAGATATCATGGAACTAAAAACACGTCCAAAATAAGATAATTTTTTTATGTAAGGTAACTTTTGTATAGTCAAATATTGACTGGAGAATTTAGAAGGTACATTTTTCAAGCTTTATTATTTTGGTCACGTATGAGGTTTTAGTTGGACTTACAAGAGTATAAAATACGACTATACTTTTTTTGAAATTCAGTAGACTTTTTCTACCAATTTCATTTGGGATTGTTTTATATTTTAAATCTCAAAAGTATATTTAATTCTATGATGATTTTTTTTTAAAGGAAAGGTTTTATTTGGGGTATCACATATGGATAAATATTCTACAGGTGTTTTCTAGCTTGAAGTATTATAGAATAAAATTTGTCAAGTATTAGAAATTTATTGAATAAATAAGGATTTGATACTACTTACTACTATTCTTTAATGGGAAAACATACTTATAAAAGTAGAAGATGGAAGATGGTAGACTGAAACTTTGAGAAAAATGTAATATTAAATAATAAAGGAAAAGTAAGACTAGAAATAAAACAGTTTATTGCGCTTAATGGATTCTTTGTCTGTAGGTCTTGTTGACAGCTAGAAACACTGCTATTATTAAATTCAGTGAGGATCTTTGAGCTGTTTTCATAACAGGCCTCCAACCCAAAAGAGTGGGTCCTTTGCCCTCTAGGGAAACAATTCATCAGGGAGTGCTAGCAGTAGTTGAACTGGACAAGGTTTTATTAGAGACTCGTGCGTGAGGGAACCAGTGCTGCAAAGGAGAACTAGCTTGGCTCCTCGCAGGGAATTAGCAGGTGATACTGAAAGGCTAAGTCCATGAGGCGGGAGGGGGAGAGCACCTTTGTAGCTTGTTCTGGGTTGGGATGCCCCTGGGCATGTATGGATGGGCTCCTAGCCTTCTTTGTCCAGGAAATTGTGAGATAGTCAATATTCAGGATCTAATAATGCATTTTGTCCAGTGTGGCATCTCATGGTCAATGTGTTGGGACACGTTGTTTGAACACGTTTCACCAGTCCATGATTTAGTCCACCTGCTCAAACAAGACTTTGGGCAACTCATCCTACTGGCTGGCAATTTCTTTTACCTAGACTGTCTCAGCTTTTTTGTTCCAGTCATAGTAGTAAGCACTCACAATATAAAACAGCATCTTGATGGGCCTCCCTGGTGGCGCAGGGGTTAAGACGCAACCTATGAAGCAATCCGCAGCCACTGTAGCACGAGTTCGATTCCCGGCCAGGGAGAAACTCACGTGGTGGGACAGACCTCTCCTGTCTCACCCGCTGCTCCCCTCAGCAGTGTACTTCGGTCTGTCTGCCTGTTCTGTTCCCTGCTCTGTCTCTAGTGGGTCCTCTCACCCCCTGCATCTCTGGCCTGTACCCCAATTCTTGTATAAAAATAAATAAATATTTTAAAAAAATAGCATCTTGGCACTGATAATTCTCACAATTTATATGGGGGACAATGAAATGTAAATGCCAAGTACAAACAATGTGATAGGTATGCAGAGAAACAGAGGTGGTAGATATAAAGGTTGAGTTGATTATGCCTAAGAAGATTGGGAACTTGAGTAAAGGCCTGTCTCATAGTTTCACAAAGAAGAGATTCTTGAGTTGACCTTTGAAGGAAGAATAAGAGTTTCACAGGTGGTAGAGGAGAATGACTTTATAAGGAAAGCAAACAACAGGCTTAAAGGAATCAGATACCAAAATATGTTTTCAAAATTGCAGTTAATTTAGTGTAGATATTACTTAGGTTGTTGGGTGGAAGTGGAGAAAGGTTAGGAGAGGTTTGCAGAATTAAAATCACAGGGTGTGTAAGAGGTGTGGAAACAAATGAAAGATTTTTATGGGCATTAGAGAAATCTAAATAGGGTAGACAGATGCTGGGCCTGGTTTATATTTTAGAAACCTAACTCTAATGTCATTATTGGGAATGGATTGTAGTGAGGAGAATCTGTAAGTCAGAAAAGCAATCAGAACCCTATTATAGTGACACATTTCAAAACAAGCAAAGATTTGAACTGAAGTAGTGGCAGTGAAAATGGTTTCAAGGAAGAAAACCAAAGTTAATGTCAGGAGACCATTGTGAGGTTTCCAGAGGGAAAAGTCTAGATATTTTTTAGTTTTGGAGTTTAAGTGATCACACTGATGGAGGTACCATTAGTCAATAAAATACAAACAGGAATAAGAGTAGGGTTGTGGTGAAGATGCATTAGGTTAGTACATGTTGGATTTGAGAGGTCTGGGAGACCCACGAGGATGTATTGGTGCAGCAGTCTTGGTTTCAGGGGTGAGAATGTACTTCAGAGGGTGAGCACCTCATTATGTGATAGTTGACTCTGTGGTAAAGGTTGTGATAGAATCTGTGCAGTATGTGAAGTAAGAATAAAAGAGGACTAACGGGAAAGTCTCAGAAGCAATAATCCTAGCAAATGCAGTTAGAGAAAGAAGAAAGACCAATAACTAGCCAGACATTGAACATGTACCAACAACCAGCAGCAACATCCGAGAGGATGTCATCAGAATAAGGAACTATAGGAAAACCAAGTTTGAAAATGTCTACAAGAGTATCAATTCACTTGGCAATGAGGGTCTAGTTCATAATAGGTGTATCAGTGTAATGCTGGGGGATAGAATTAAAATTCTTCACTGAAAGGAAGATGGTTTTAGATACTGTCTCATGTTCTGTTGGGGTCTAGTTGGTAGTCTTATAGCTTGAAATTTTTGATGAAAATCAAGTCTTGTTACATCAGATGTATCACGGTAGGATGCAGTTAATGATAGAATGTTGTTTTTCCTTATGCCTTGGTTTTGATTTGAGTATTATTAAACTAAATCATCTTCTATGTAGGAGCTGGTCAAACATACCACCGATCCCTTGGAAAAGGCAAATCTGAAGTTAGCTCTCGATGCAATGAAGGTAAGGCGATGGATCTGCCACTTGTTTGTATTTGTCATTCTTGCCTGAAGAACAAAAGAATGCAAACTGAGAACACATATGTATGATATGCCAATATATTAAAATATATATCAAAGTATTTTTTAAATTTGTTCTTGTTGGACAAAGCTAGATATATTAACTGAAATAGATACGTCTCATGGATTTGTTAGAGAAATGTGCGTAAAATAAGAATATTGAAATAATGTTTGTTATTAATAAAAGTAGGACAACTATATAACAACCAGGAATAATGTAATAGAATGGTTTTATTTAGCACTCTTTATATAGTTACTAAAGAAAGCTGTGGCTTGGGTAAGCAACAGGTCAGTTGGTAACTTCAGATACTGGTGGTGTGACTTACTCTCTTCGCGTGAGGATAATGTGTGCCAGGTTTACCTGTGTGGATGCTGGCTCGCTGATACAAGTGGACTTTAGTTTGGGTTTCTACTTTCAGGTAAATCTGAAAATCAGGAAGTTTAACAAGTTAATGGCAGACTTTCAGAACATAATGGGGAATAGGGAAATCTTCAATTTCCATTTTATGTTAAATAAAATGATTTTGAAAGAAATGATATTTGCCCTAACTTAACACATTAGCAAACATTTGTTCCCCAAACCAAATGCCAGTTTGACTCTGCATAGAGTGATGCATAATCACCTACTTGAGTCCTGTGCCTGTGCAGTGTTAGCTCTGCTTTTCAGCTAATTTTATTATTTTTAAGGATTTATTTATTTATGCATATAAGAGCTGGAGTACAGGCCAGAGGTGTGGGGGAGGTGAGAGGATTCTCCAGAGACAGAGTGGGGAGCAGAACAGGCAGACTGACTGAAATACACTGCTGAGAGGCGCAGTAGATGAGACAGGAGAGGTCTGCTGTGCCCTATGTGGGTCAGCTCCCTGACTGGGGATTGAACTCACGCCGTAATGATGATGGTGCTGACGCAACCAGGGAAGACCCTCAGCTGATGTTATCACCCCACCAGGAAACATCAGACACATTGTTATAAAAAAAAAATCATACTGAGTTTCCAACTTTTGAAGAAAATGTTTGTAGGTACATGTATAAAGTCAGACTTGTCAAAGTTAGTAACTACTTGCTGTGATAATTCTGTTCCTAGTATTGCAGATGCATTGAAGAAGGTAAGGGGGAAAAAAGCAGAAAACAGAAAAATCTAGAACACATAATATAAAAATAGCTAGTTACACCATGGAGAGATTAGCTAATGTTTCCTCACATATCAGAAAAGTCTTTTTAAAGCAAGTGAAGGTACATGAAAAAAAAATGTCTGGTCTTGTTTGTTCATGTCAAACTCCGGAAATTCTCACCTCACCTTTACTTCTGCTTTGACTCTTTGATTGGGAGCTGACTTCCTTGACTGGATGTTCTCAGGAACCAAGAAAATAACTGGTTGCAGAAAACACCCCTTCTAGTTTCATTATCTAACATTTAGGTACTTCTTTCTCCCTGCAGCCCCTTCATTATTGCCCTTATTCTAACTTAAGTAAAAATGTAATTTCCATAGGTCAGTTATTTAGCATGTTTGGAATTTACATTTTTCGGACCAACTTTTTGTTGTTCTGCATGTGACATATTTTGCTTACTTTGGCTTTTTCCTAAACTTTTTCCAGGGGTGTGGTACAGGGACAGCGCTTCTCTCTTCCCAGCTGTACGCCAGACATTTTAAAATTGCTTTTGAGATGCAGCTGTGATTGATGGGTGTTCATTTTATTGTCACTGAGAAGTTATGGTGGTTACTTTTACCACTGATGGAATTAATGATGTGTTTTCTCTCAAACAGTTCTCATTTTTCCCTCTAATCTTATTGTTTCCTTCTTTTTTGTACCCTTGCCTTTATTCTGCAGGACTTGGCACAATATGTGAATGAAGTGAAAAGAGATAATGAGACACTTCGTGAAATTAAACAGTTTCAGCTATCTATAGAAAATTTGGTATGTAATTATTATTCCATCCATCTTCTCCTCACCCACAACTTGGGGGACATTGTAGGAGTTGTTTTTGGAAGAAAAGAAGTTTACCTTCAAGTTTATATGGTTCCAGGATCCTCCCCAACCCCGATTATTATTTGGGAGCATCCACATGGATTCTAGTGGCACCTGTGACATATTGTTGTCCAGGGACATTAAGGTGCCTCTCTCCTTAATCTCACTGCGCTTCTTCCACCAGCAGTGTGAATTCTAAGCAAGTCATTTTTCTTTCTCTTTTTTTAAAACCCCGTATATACTCATGGCTGATACCTATTAATTTATGTATTTTTGCTGGGTGCATATCTGTGCCAGGCATTTTGCTTGGGTCTGGGGCTGCAATTGTGAACAACATGGTCACGTGTTTGAGAAGACAGGAAAGAGCAGGAAACGCTGTGTTGAGATTAATGTGTGGTCAGGGTGCTGCAATGGGGGATTGTGACAGGTTCCTAATGTGCATAAGATGGTTAGAAAAAAAACCATTGAGTCCCTTAACACTGTATTGTGAAGAAGAAGAAACCAGCTGCATCAAGATCTGTGGGGAGAGGAAGATCCAGGAAGAAGCCATAGCAGGGCCTCCCCGGTGGCACAGCGGTTGAGCGCAGGGTTGTGAAGGTGCCCACAGCCTCTGCAGCACCAGATTGATCCCCGGCTGCCGGCGAGAGTCCCACATGGCACACAGACCTCTCCTGCCATTCCCACTGCTTCCCTCAGCAGTGTACTTTGTCAGTCTGCCTGCTCTGCCTCTGGTGAATTCTCTCACCCTCCCATGCTTCTGATTGTACCCAGTGCTTGTATAAATAAATAAATAAATAAATCTTTTTAAAAAAAGAAGCCATAACAAGTGAAAGGCCCAGAGATGGTGAAGAGCCAGGGCTGTTCACAAAGCTGAAAGGCAGGAGTGACTGGAAATGGAGAGTGAAAGGAAACATGGCGGCTCTCATGCAGGAACATTGAGCAGGAGAAGCTACATACCACAGCTCTGTGGCACTGACTAGGGTTTTACTCTGAGTGATTCCAGTGGAAAGCCAGTTAAAATTTTGTATTTACATCTCAGGAAAACGCTTTGGGTGGGTAGATGAGTTAGTTGTTGAGACAACTTTAAGAGACATGACTGAGGTTTCGGATAGAGCTGTGGGCAGTGAAAATAGAGAAAAAGAATCAATTGAAGATTTTTTTGTTTTTGTTTTTGTTGCTTTTTCTCTGAAACATCTAAAGCCTCTCTGTCTCTTTTCACATGGACAATGGCTTCCCCCCTTAGCACCTCACTGCCACCTTTCCAATCCCAATAGCTTCTAATCATCCTCCCTGGTGGTGCAGGGGTTAAAGTCTCAGCACTATCATGCTATCACCAGTCACTGCAGTATGAATTCAACCTCCGGCCAGGGAGGTGACCCACATGGCACAGCAGACCCCTCCTGTCTCACCTGCTGCTCCGCTCAGCAGTGTATTTCTGTAGACCTGCTCCCCGTTCTGTCTCTGGTGAATCCTCTCACTCCCTGCACCCCTGGTCTACGCCCCAGATCTTGTGTGCATATATAAATAAAAATAAATCTTAAAATATAGCGGGTTTCCCAAACTCATGGAGATTTCTCTGGTCTCTAAGAGTCAGTCAACATTCATTTTCACGAGAGATAAGATACACAGTTATTTGGTCTTAAACTATTTTCCTAAACTCATCCAGCTCATAGTGGCCCATATACTTTACATTGCAGCTGTCCTGCTTGGTTCCAAGTCTCCAATTTACCGTGCATTTTTATAGTTTTGCCTTTGGTCATAATTTTGTCAGAGCCTAGAGATTTCCTCATTATTTGCTCTCAAATTCCTTCAAAGTCCAACTGATTAAATCCTATCCCTAATCTTCCATCATTCCTTTCTCTGTGTAATCCCATAGCAAGGTACTTTGGCAGCTGTTTAGCATTTTATTTTATTTTATTTTATTTTATTTATTTTTATTTTTTTATTTTTATTTTTTTTTTTATAGAGGCATGTTTTCTTTCTTTCTTTCTTTGTTTTTGTTTATACATGCACTGGGTACAGTCAGAAGCGCGGGAGGGTGAGAGAATTCACCAGAGCCAGAGCGGGGAGCAGAGCAGGCAGAAGGACCGAAGTACACTGCTGAGGGGAGCAGCGGGTGGCAGGAGAGGTCTGCGCGCCATGTGGGACCCTCCTCCGGTGGCCGGGGAGCAGCCGGGGATCGAACCGGCGCCGCAGAGGCTGTGGGCAGCTTCGCAACCCAGCGCTCAACCGCTGCGCCACCGGGGAGGCCCTAGCATTTTATTTTAAATTGTGGTTAAAATATATAAAGCATTTTGAATGTTCAGATTCGCGACACTGAATACGTTCATACATTAATACTGCTCAGCCATCACCACCGCCCATGTTCAGGACACTTTGTCTTGCAAAACGGAAGCTCTGCTTATTAAACAGTAACTCATCACTCCTCCTGGCCCTGACACTCACCGTTCCTCTTTTTGTCCTTCTGAATTTGATACTCTGTGTCCCTCACATGAGTGGAGTCATATAATATTTGTTCTAATGGTACTAGATGATTCCTCTTAGCACAGTGCTGTCAAGGTTTGCTCTCATAGGATAGGATTTCATTCCTCTCTGTCCCTCTGTCTCTCTCTTCCATTTTTAGCTTGAATGCTCTAACACTGACTGTGTATACAAACCCCCCAAATTTCTTTTTTTTTAATTAATAAATTTTATTTTTATATTCCCCATACAATTGCAATCCCCCCATTCTGACCCCAATCCCTCCCCTCCCGCCCCCCACCCCCCAAAAAGTGTCTCTGGTTCATAGTTTTTGTTGATTTTGATTTTCACTTTCTTATAGTTATTCATTTTCCTGGTCCCTTATTTAAGTTTTCTAGATTCCTGCTATGAGTGAGACCATCGGTATTTTTCTTTTTCTTTTTGGCTTATTTCACTGAGCATGATCCCTTCCAGCGCCATCCATGTTGCTGCAAATTGCATGTGTTTATCGTTTTTGAATGCTGAGTAATATTCCATGGTATATATGTGCCACATCTTCTTGATCCAGTCATCCATTTTTGGGCATTTGGGCTGTTTCCAAAGCTTAGCTATTGTAAATAGTGCTGCTATAAACATAGGGGTGCAGGTGTTCTTTGGAATTGATGTTTCTGTGTTCTTTGGGTAAATACCTAGGAGTGGAATTGCTGGATCCTGTGGAAGCTCTATGTTTAGTAGGTCCAGAAATCTCCACACAGCTCTCCATAGTGGTTGGACCAGTTTGCACTCCCACCAACAGTGCAGAAGAGTTCCTTTTTCTCCACAACCTTGCCAACATTTGTTGTTGCTAGTTTTTTTAATATGTGCCATTCTCACTGGTGTAAGATGGTATCTTTATCCATTCACTGTCAATGGACCCTTGGGTTGCTTTTTCTCTGAAACATCTAAAACCTCTCTGTCTATTTTCACATGGACAATGGCTTCCCCCCTCAGCACCTCACTGCCACCTTTCTAATCTCAATAGCTTCTAATCATCTCACATAGTTGCCTTCCAAATGTGGGTTTCCCGAGCCTCCCTGGTGGTGCAGGGGTTAAAGCACTATCAAGCTATCAAGTCCCCTTTTGGCTGGTGTGTACCTCTGTCTGTCTGAGTCCCTGCTTCTACTTCTTTTGGTTTTTCCCATTCCCTTCTTATTAGACATTTGTGTATTTTTTTTGGAGAAATGTCAATTTAAGTCCTTTGCCAATTTTTGAATCAAAGTTGTTTGCTTTTTGTTATTGCATTACACTGCATGTCAATCCTTATCACACATTTGGTTTTCAAATATTTTCTCCTAATCTGTGGGTTGTATATTATCCTCTCTGGTGATGGTGCCATTTGATGTACAAAAATTTTAATTTTTGATGGTCTCATTCATTGATCTTTTGTTGCCTCTGTTTTAGGTGCCAATCCAAGAAATCATCAATAAATTCAAAGTCATAAATTGATTCCCCAATGCTTTCTTTTAAGTGTTATTTCTTTTAGCAATTTTAAAAGTGTTATTTTTTTAGCACTTTGATTCATTTTATTTTTCATTTTGATTTAATTTTTGTATATAGGAGCCTCCCCAGTGGTGCATTGTGTTGAGCACAGTGCTGTGAAGCTGTCTGCAGCCTCTGCAGCAAGGGTTCGATTCCTGGCTGGCCAGGAAGATACCCACACGGCATGGCAGACCTCTCCTGTCTCACCCACTGCTCCCCTCAGCAGTGTTTTCAGTCCCTCTGCCTGTTCTATTCCCCACTGTGTCTGGTGAATCCTCTCACCCTCCTGTGCCTCTGACCTGTACCCCAGTTCTTGTATAAATGAATAAAATCTTTAAAAAAATTTGTATATAGTATAAGGGTAGAATACAATTTCATTTTTTATATATGTATACTCAGTTTCTCTAGCACCATTTGTTGC